GTATAATATTCTTTATTTCAGTCAGTGTATGCTTAATTTCTAGTTGGTCCTTTATCACAACATCGAGGGTCTCACTAGATTTCTTAAGGATCTCAATACATTTATCGGCGGTTTCCATAAAATTCTTGAAAAATCTTAGAACCGTGGTTTTGAACTCTATATCCAGTCGTTTGCTGTCCTCCATTTCTGTCATTTGTGACCTGTTTCTTTGTCTTCGCATTTTGTCTGCTTCCCTGTGTTGGTAGAGTGGTTTTGTGTGCTAGGTGTCCTACAGGGCCCAGTGGCTCAGCCTCCCCAGTTACCTGAGGTGGACACTCTTGGTGCACCCCCTTGTGGGCTTTGTGCACAGTCTTGTTGTAGTTATGCCTTGATTGTTTTAGGTGTCACTGGGAGGAATTGACCTCCAGGCCAATTGGCAGTGAGAATCAGCTGTGTCTGCAGTGGGAGAACTTCTGTGCTGAAGACACCCTTCTGGGGCAAGACTTGCTTCAGTGGGGCTTTGGTGCTCACTGAGTCTGCCCCCTGAGTGTGTTCCTTATGAATCTGAGGAGTTGTAATCTGGGTGGTCCCACTCTGACCACTGGGTACACTGGCTCTTGGATCTAAAAGGAGGTGCTAATTTAGCCTCTGCCTGAGGCTACCCAGCAGGAACCCAGCTGTGAAGCAATGCAAGCTGCTGTGGGGCCTTGGGCCTTCTTTTGGAAGTTCTGGGTTTCTCTGACCCAGCTGCAGTTTGTTAGGTAATTTTCAGATTGCAAAGGGCCAGGCCTTTCATATGCAAAAGCTGCTGCACACAGCTTGGGTGGGGCAGGGTCTCTGAGGATCAACAGGGGGAAGCAAGCAGCTATGGCTGCACCTCAGCCCTACCCTAAGAGGCCCGGCTCCTCAGTGTCCTGGTAATCACTGCAAGTACTTCTGAGAGAAAGCCGCCCTCGAGTTCCGACTGATGCCAGACAGTCCAGTTTCTCCTGTATGAGTCTGGGTCCCCAGAGACTCGCCCGGAACTGGAGTTCAGAGCAGTCAGGAGCTTGAGACTCCCTCCCAATTGAAAAAGACAACCGTGTCCTCAGTTTCCAGCCCTTTCCACGTGCGCTGCGTCCTCAGCTGCCAGCCCTTTCCACGTGCGCTTCGTCCTCAGTTGCCAGCCCTTTCGGCGTGCGTCTCCGTACCTCTGCACTTTACTTCCACACCCCCTCTGAGTCTCAGTGTGCTTTTCTCTTTCCTTCTAGTTGTAGAATTTCCACTCGGCCAGCCTTACTGTGGTTCTGGATTATGTCCGTTTTGTCGTTTAGTTGTATTTTTGAAGTGGTTGTGCAAGGCAGCAATTTCTGGTGTTTACCTATACCGCCATCTTGGTTTCTCTCGCCACTTAATTTTTTAAAAATTGATTTTGAGAGGAAGAGAAACATTGATATGAGATACATCGGTTGCCTCCTGTATGTGTCCCAACAGGGGATTGGACCCATGACCTAGGTATGTGCCCTGACTGGGAATCGAACCTTTTACCTTCTGGTCCATGGGAAGACACTCCAACCAAACCACACCAGCCAGGCAGTGCCACCTTTTTCATATTTTTGTGATTTTGTTTAAAATGGCCCATAAGCATAGTGCTTAAGCATGCCCAAGGCTGTCATGTGCCTTTTGGAGAAAATACATGTGCAAAAAAGCTTCATTCAGGCTTGAGTTATAGTGCTACTAGAGGCCTGATGCATGAAACTCATTCATGGGTAGGGTCCCTGGGCCTGGCCAGTAATCAGGGCTTATCTTTGGGCAACTGGTGGGACAATTGGGGAGGGGGGGCGCCCCAGCAGCACCCGCCTTGGTTGGCCTGGGCCTGTGGGCAGCTCCTGTGTTGTCTACCCCCTGGTGGTCAGTGTGCGTCATAGTGACCGGTTGTTCCGCCGTTTGGTCAATTTGCATATTAGGCTTTTATTATATAGGATTGGTTGTGAATTCAATGTAAACAATATATATTAGTGTCTTTAAACAGAAACACACATATAAAACAAGGTTATATGTTAATCCAGTTGATGAAAATATTACTGTAGGCCAGTGGTTCTCAACCTTGGCTGCACATTAGAATCACCTGGGAATCATCCTCCGGAAATTCTGTTTGTTACTAATGTTGTGGCCTCACCCCATAACAAAGAAACAGAATTTCCGGAGGATGAGGCCCAGAAATCAGTATTTTAAAAAGATTCCCAGGTGATTCTAATGTGCAGCCAAGGTTGAGAACCACTGCTGTATGCTCATAGGAATCTAACCCTTTATTTCCCCTAGGAACACGGGTTAACTCAGAATTTGCAGCAACTTTATAGCACTTAATTACCATGAATAAAAATCTGCATTTGACATCTAGAGCCTTTGCTATTATTCTTTTGTAAATTGAATCTCAAATATATACTACCCTTACCTAAAATATAAAATACACAAACACTTTAACGCTTTACTGACAGGAAAAGCTGGTTCAGATAAATGTAACACTGCCATGTTTCTACACAAATATAGTTAGCAAATTTCCCTTCCTTTTCAAAAGTATGTGCCTTAATTTTTTGATCCACAAGAATTTTCACATTAGGTAATGAAGGCTAATATTAGGTATACTTTTTAAGTTAAAATGTATCTAGAAAATGTCTGCTATTGGTTTAAGATGGACTTTCTTCATCATGTTAAGGAATCATCTTCCAGTTTAGGTTTTTAGGAGTGTTATATCTTTTTTTTTGTTATTATTTCCATTTATTAATAAAAGAAATTAAATGCAGTATCATAGACACTGATTAAAAGTATTTTATGAAATGACTTCATGCATGGCATTTGTGTTAATTCAAAATAAGAGAAGGCAGTGTCAAAGCACAATACCTATTTAGTCTTATATTTTTTTTTAAATTTTTTTATTGCTTAAAGTATTACAAAGGGTATTACATATATCTTATGAAATGTCATACTAATGTAATCATGTAAATTTTGACTACTGCCTATATTAATAATTTCAAAATACCAAGCCATCCTTGCATAACCACGATAATTATAATAGACTAGGGGCCCAGTGCACGAATTTGTGTACTTTGAAAGGAACCGTGGGCCGCGAGGCTGCAGTGGGCACAGTGGCGGGTCTCAGCCCATCCTCCGCATTCATCCGCCCCTCCTGTCACGGCCCTGTCCACCAGAAGCCCCACTCCTGCCCACTGATGGCGCAGAGCAATTTGGGCCGGCACCAGCAGCAGGTGTGAGCACCGGTTGCTGCCCTGATCGCCCCTCAGGAGCAGGGGGAGGTGGAGAAGCCCTTAGGGGCGATTGGGGTCAGCAGCCGCCACTGGTACCCACTGATGAGGCCAAGCGATAGGGTCTGGTGCCGGCAGCGGGTATGAGTGGTGGCTCCGAGCACTGGGTGTGACTACAGTGTGTGGGAGCAAATAATTTTCAGTAACCATCAGAGGCTCACCCCAATGACTACTGGCACAACGCCTTGGTCTGGCACCCCCCCTCACCTGTTCTACCATCCCACCGTGGCCAATGCTCACCACGTTCCGCGCTCTGCATCCTGCTGCCAACGCCTGCCATGTTCTGTGCGTGCCCCTGTTGGTCAGCACACGTCATAGTGACCAGTTGTTCAGTTGTTCCGCTGTTTGGTCTATTTTCATATTAAGGTTTTATATGTATAGATTAAGACACTGTGAAATTTGATATTCTATTATTCCACTTACAATTTTCTACCTAAATGCAATTCTTTTTTTTTAATATATTTTATTGATTTTTCTACAGAGAGTAAGGGAGAAAGAGAGAGATAGAGAGGTAGAAACATCGATGAGAGAGAAACATCGATTCAGCTGCCTCCTGCACACTCCCCACTGGAGATGTGCCCGCAACCAAGGTACATGCCCTTGACGGGAATCGAACCTGGGACCCTTCAGTCCGCAGGCTGATGCTCTATCCATTCAGCCAAACTGGTCAGGGCTAAATGCAATTCTTAAAAAAAACAACAAAACAAAACAAAAAAAAACACCTAAATTTCACTAAATCTTAAGGTTTAAAAGCTATCAAATATGCACAATGCAGCAGCACTAAAATCCTTATATACTTTTTGGGGGAAGTAGGGCAAGAGAAGCATATTAAAACTTGGTCTGTTTTCTACTCATACTGCAGGGCATCCTTTATAGCTAATAACGGCAGTTCAAACAGCTTTTCCCTCATACATAAAAATGAAATAATGACTTCAAGTGGATTAAACTCAATCTAGTAACCACTGTGGTTTACTCTTACATTTAAACTATGGTACTAGACTGGTTTCACAATGCAAACATCTAGATATTAAAACACAAAAATAAAACAGGTTAATAACTTTGAAGTTACACTGGCATGACTTAAAAATGAGAAGCCAATATACACTGCTTTTAAAATAGATGAGATAATAGGAAGTACTCTTTATCAGACAGAGTTGCCACAATTTCCAGTTACATATTAATGTTTATTTTAATTTTGCTTCCCTTTTAGCCTATAAGGTCTGAGGACAAAAATCAACTTATGTTAGTTCACTTGTGCCAGGTCTTTTCTGTTTGCTCCCTTTGAATATCCTCTTCACCTTGCTGCATCATTGGGCTTCCTTGCTTTCTGCTTAGGTTCAAATAATTGGAATGCTAACAGATCAGTGGATAGACAAGATTGAGACACATATACCACACACAAATACTCTTGCTACCTCTCAGCTTACATAACCCTCTTACAGGGCTTAAAACCTTTTTAGATGTCTGCAGACAATTTCCTCATTAAAAAAAAACAAAACACAAAACTCCACAAGCTTAATTAAGTGAAAATACAGACTTAATCCCCCATCTTCAAAATTAATTTTCTTCCCTTAGCATATAAACAAATGGTAGTAAGCTTTACAAGGAACTGTATATACTGAGAAGTATTTTTTTCTAAGCTTAACCAATTAAAACAATTTTTAAAAATCCTTAACTACTGGAAAGAATCCAGTGTTGTCATAAAATAAGTAGTTTTCCTTTTGTTCTTAAAGGACTCCTTGTAAAAGTTCTTGATAAAGGGGCCACTGACAGGTATATTCCACAATAACACATTTCAACACTGCTTACAACCGATAACCTAGTAAATGTTAACTGAAGTTTCAAGTCAGGAGAATGGAAAATTATATTCTATTGAGAGACTATTGAAAAAATAAAACAAAAAACAAAAACCATTATCACAACAAAACCAATGACTCCTAAATTAGAAGATGACTATCACCTTTTACTAAGTACCTAAGTTTCCATGGAGTAAAACTCAGGAAAGGAGAATCAATTTTACAGCCCATTCCATAGGACTTCAGCTTCTGAAGTAACAAACAAAACCCATTTCACCTGTAGGTAGGTTTCATAGAATTGAGTCAAAGTAAAACAAACAAAATACATATTCAGTGCACGTGAAGCAAAAAGATGTATGTAAATGCTATATGTATTTATAAAAGAAATATTTTAGTTAAAAAAAATTAAAAGCCTGATCTATGAATGGAATTCTGGAACTGCCATGTAATAATGCTCAGCTCTCACTGTATTATGTCATGAATATATATGAACTATTAAAACTAAATGTGATAGTCAATAGACAACTGGCCTACATTTATGTTTATTAAAAACTGACATAAACAAACAAAACCTGTACAAAAAATATCCCAAATCGCATATCACTTTGAAACAGTAATCATGAGAGACATTATCGCCTAGGACCCCCTCTTCCTCTGCCCCGGCCACGTCCTCTTCCTCTTCCTCGGCCTCGGCCTCTTCCTGCAACTGAGGAAAGAAAAAAATAAGGCATGGTAAATTCTCTTCTGATCTGATGTTACCTGGTCACTACAAATAGCATCTACAGTAAAGAAAACTTTCTTGGCTTCTCTCAAATGTAACCTCAAGTCACCTCTCCAAATACACACAGAACCAAGCAAGCATCGCTAGTCTTTATTGTAGTATTTGTTAGTTTGAATATAATTACTGAGAAATTCATCAAGTTTTAAAATATTTTCCTTTGTTATCATGTCTCAAAATCCCCCCCAAAATGAAATGCAAATGATCTGAACCTCATACAAGATAGAAGAGATATCTTATCAATGGAACAGAACATGAACACCATATGCCAGACTTTTTGTTACTGAAGAGAACCCAAGCAAAACCTAGTATTTTAATCCATATAGCAATATCCCTTGTCACCTGGTCATCTTAAATCTACTTGAATATCAGCGACAGAAAACTCCTATCCAAATGAACTTATTTCATCTTTGGACAGCTATAAATATTTAAAAAAAATCCTAACATGCAGTTGTCAGTTACATTCTATCTATTATTTTCAGCTTACAAAGCAATATAGTAAGTCTAGAATATCTGTTAAAACAAGGCAGATTAACTGCACATCCTTAATTCCTTCTGAAACACTATTCATGATAGAAAAGGAATAAAAATGGCAAATACCCATAAGGACCAAAAAAAAAAAAAAAAAAAAAGGTAGAGAACACACAGTGGTTGAAAGAATTTTCCCCACAAATTTTTAAGTTAGAAAGTAGTCTAAGGACGGTAAATGTTTAGTAAGGGAAGAATAACTCCCTAGAGACCTAGAATGTTGGGAACCAAAGGTAAAATGAGGCCACTATCCTGAAAACAAACAAAAAAAATAGTTGACAATTTTATGTGGAGCAATAAACTATCTAGTCCTCTTCCCTACCTTGCAAAGCTAATTACAAAGCTAACAGGTAGGTAAGAAAGGGTAAAATGAACCTAAAGATACAGAAAGGCTTCAGATTTGAAAACACAAAGTCGATAGCAGCAAGAGGCACAGAGCAAGGCAAAGGGACAGGGGTATTAAATCAGCATTTTTTAAGCTATGAGTTGTAACCCGAAATTTTCTTAACTAAAAGAGAACAGGGCCCTAGCTGGTTTTGCTCAGTGGATAGAGCATCGACTCTCGGACTGAAGGGTCCCAGGTTCGATTTCGGTCAAGGGCACATGCCCAAGTTGCAAGCTCAGTTCCCAGTAGGGGGCGTGCAGGTGGCAGTTAATTGATGATTCTCTCTCATCATTGATGTTTCTATCTCTCTCCCCTCTCTTTTCCTCTCTGAAATCAATAAAAATATGTATTTTTTTTAAAAGAGAGAGAATAGGATAGAAAGCTTAAAGGCATTTGTATGTATTAAAGGCCAAGTCATTGTTCCTGAAACTTTTATTTCAGTTATGAGTGGGTCACAATACAAGGTATATTTTAGTGTGGGTGGAAGGAAAGTCTCAAAATCATTATATTAAGTGACAGTCTATAAAACACCCAGCCTCTTTCTCCTCCCTGCTCTTACAATGATACAGACCAGCTAAGAAGGCCAGCCTCCCTTCCCAGAACTTTAAGTAACAGATGACCAAAGAATAAAGTACTTAATTAATAAAGACCAAATAAAAAGAGAAACCAGAGAAAATAATGCTAAGTATAGAATAAAACTTAAAAAAAAAAAAAAACCACACCAAAAACTATGATTAATGTCCTACTAGTTAATATCCTACCCAGTATTATTCATATAAGAAAAAAGAAAACCTATATCCATATAACAAGGACAGAATTCTATGAAAAATTATCAGAGAACACAAGAGTCTTGAAGATTAAGTGTATGCTAGATTGGAAGATAAGGCCAAGGAAATTTCTCAGGAAATAGAAGACAAAACATCCACGTTGAAAGGGTCCACCAAGTATACCTAGAACAGCAAAATGAAGGGAAAATAGGGAGGACAAGTGAAGATCCTATGCCAAGTCATTAAGAAATTTCAGAATACTGGGAATAAAGAGCCAATGTCCAAATGTTCCAAAGTATGTACAGGGTGGGAGATAAGGCCACGCACAAAGGTACAGAAAAATGGGATTCGTGTTTTAATAACAACACCAGTAAAAATAATAAATACTATAACAAATGCACTCATGGCAAGTATAGGCAATTAAAAAAAAAACCCTCAGTTGTTTGCAAACAGCCATATTTTTGATTAGTAAATTAGGGTATAAATACATTCACAAAAACATTTATAATCCTTCCAACTTACCAGCTTCTCTTTTCTTAGATTTCACCTTCGGTTCAACATCCACAAGTAGTGTATCCAAAGGTAAGCTGTCTGGCAGAATAAAATACCGAATGTTATTTCCGCGAATACTCAGTGTTTCCAGCTGTACAGGTTCTCGGTTCTTCAGGGTCATTTTCACAGCTTTAAGATGAGTATTCATGCTGACATCTACACCTAGAGGGAAAAAAGAGGACAATTATTAGCACAATAAGAAAGGCAACCAATTAATATATCAAGTACAGTGTATACCTTATTACAAAAGAGTACTGTTCTGCTACAGTGCAAGTATCTATGACATAATTATGTAAACTGGTAAATGGGGGAGATATTGTCTGTACAAATCAGAAGTCTTTCCTTTAGAGAGATTTTCCCTCCCATGTTAGATATACTTACAGAAGTGAATGCAGCAAGCCATGGAGAGACCCTAACTGATACACATGCCTATTTCCACTGTTTCCTTATAGTCTCCTCATAGCCTAAGGCCATGGTCGGCAAACCGTGGCTCGAGAGCCACATGCGGCTCTTTGGCCCCTTGAGTGTGGCTCTTCCACAAAATACCACGTGCGGGTGCGCATGTACAGTGCGATTGAAACTTCGTGGCCCATGCGCAGAAGTTGGTATTTTGTGGAGAGTCATTGATCACCTACCTTCTACACACCCCATACAGGGGATCGAGCCCACAACTCAGGCAATGTGCCCTGACTGGGAATTGAACTATGACCACCTGGTTCATAGGTCAGCGCTCAACCACTGAGCCACGCCGGCCAGGCCCATCACTAGATTTTGAATTCCTAAAAAGAAGACCTTAGAGAATGCAGACTAATCACTGTTTATAGAATTTTAACGTAATAGCAATTATACTTCCTCAGATATCAAAATCTTACACTGTACTACTGATTTCTTCATAGCAACTGGCATTACAAAGTTCTAGTATACACACAAATAATATAAGTTTAATGTATATTTCTCTTGGTTTACTCAGATGCTTGATCTATGTGTTAAAAAATTATTTATAAATTTATAACTTAAACATTTAAGAGAGTGGGACCACATGCCAAGATAGCCTTTTCTTTCTTTGGCTCATCAATTCTTTTGAAATTCTGCAGCTTTGGAAGAGGGCCTACTATGAATGAAAAAATCACAGTGGCCTTCAATATAAACCTAAACATATAACATCATTACAGCAAAGAGTTAAACAAATAACAAAAAAGTAATGTAAAATTATAGTTCCTTACTGTCCCCTCTTAATCTCCCACATATATTTTTACCCAAGATAATAAGACACAGAAATCCATCTTCTATCTTCAAAGTCTTTACAATCTAACAGGGAGCACAAAATTCTAATAAAAGTAATAACATATATTTTGGAAGATGCAACATTGCAGGCAAAAGGACACACATACAGGTAAAAGCATGAAAGGCATAAAAATAGGATAACAGGGGTCACATATAGGACATCTTGGGGGAACCCAGCTCGGTCTTAGCAGAAGTACTTCAGGTAAAGCTGAAGTAAGAAGGCCAGTGAAATAATTCAGACAAAAAGAATAAGATACCCACTACAAGAACGTTCATTAAGCAACCAAAAAGAAATTCTGGCCTGTAGATAGAAGGGCTTTATAAAGAAGTCTAACCTCCATACCTGTGATTGTTCCATGGACCTGTGTTCCATTCTTTAATTCGATGGTTACAGTTTCGTGACTCAATTTCATCAAAAATCTATAAAGACAGCAGGAATAAAATGATAAATTTTCACCTTTAAAATGTTTATTAAGTTCAAAAGGGTGACATTTCTAATTGTTAAAAATCTGCTTAGATGCTATCTGCATCAATTCCTATTAATAATCTCCATCACAATTTCAGCTTTCCCTGAATTAAAATCTTAGCATTTATGAAGGAGAATAACAACACACAATCATTTGGACACTTCTGATTTTCTAAACCATTGTAAAGCATCATCCGTGCATACAGATCCTAAAGTCATTATAAACCACAAAATTGAAATCAAGAAATTATATGGATGAAAGTGGTCAAAAGGTACACATTTCCAGTTAGAAAATACATAAATATTTGGGGTATAATGTGCAACATGCTGACTACAGTTAACACTGCTGTATGACATATTTGAAAGTTGCTTAGACTTTTGCATCTAAGATATATTTGGAATGTCAGGGCAATTTCCCTTTTCCTGGACCCCTCAGGGCACAACCAATACACCAGAGCAGAGACTACAAATTCTCTCATTGTTATTGATGTTAATTCTTTTTTTTAAAAATACATTTTATTGATTTTTTACAGAGAGGAAGGGAGAGGGACAGAGAGTTAGAAACATCGATGAGAGAGAAACATGGATCAGCTGCCTCCTGCACACCCCCACACTGGGGATATGCCTGCAACCAAGGTACATGCCCTTGACCGGAATCGAACCTGGGACCCTTCAGTCTGCAGGACAACGCTCTATCCACCGAGCCAAACCAGTTAGGGCTGATGTTAATTTTTGACTATTAATTATCATGTGCCCACTTATGTAAAAGATGTTTCATTTTACTTTTTATCCAATCCCAGAGGTTTCACTGCTGTTTTCTCCTGCATCCCTAATCTATCACCAATGAATTTATGTAACCCACTTACATCTTCTTTCGATTATCTTACCTAATAATAGACAAACATGTAAATTGACATTCCATCCGCTATGCTCACCAGCCAATCAGGAGAGTATGCACATTAACCCCAGAAAGATGGCGGTTAATTTGCATATGTAGGCGCAAAGCGGAGGAGCGAAGACGGAAGGCTCCGGGCTGGAGCGAAGGCCTGGGTCCTGGGTGCCAGAGGAAAACCGGTGCCAGCAGCCAGGGGAAGGGAAGGCCTATTGCACGAAACTCTTCTATATATAAAAGGCTAATATGCTAAGTGTCTCTCCACCAGTCCGACGGTCGCTATGATGTGCACTGACCACCAGGGGGCAGACACTCAATGCAGGAACTGCCGTGACACGCACTGGCCATTTACAGAGAAATGGCAGCACAGACCTGGCGCCAACATAGCAACACTCAGCTTCTCCCAAGTGGGACACAGGCCCTGCCACCACCCCACCAAATTGCAGCTGATGCTGCCATGGCGCAAAATGGGCCCACAGCCCAGCCTGGAAACAGTGGCCATGGGCGCTGGGTAATGATGTCATGTGGCAACGCCCAGCTTTCTCTCCCTAGTGACTATAGACTAGCCTCCTTGCAGTTTCTTCAGCCCAGGAACACAACTTGCTTTATAACCAGGTGGAAACATTTACACTTTAACCAAATGTCTGTGAAGCGTTTTCCCGTGCCTCATCTCATTTGACCCTCACAGAAATCTTAGAGTAGGTAGAAAGGAGACTTGGTGAAATCCTATTCTCTTTTCATTAGCCAGAAAAAGGAGATTTAGAAATTTAGAAACGACCCAACTGAAAAGAAATGGTGGACCTTGAAAATGACTTCAGGTTTTCTCACAGGGTAGAATATAGTCAGACACTGCTGCAGTTAAATATTTTACCCTTTGTTCTCCCTGCGTGATCTACAATATGCGTGATCTACAATAATCTGCTTCATGTTGATATTTACTGCTGTGTTGCTGACAATTACCTGAAAGAAGTTGGGGTGCTTCACTGGGCTGGAAAAAGTTTAGCTAAATCAGAAAGCAGGTCTAATTAAGCAAGTTTATTCTATATGTATATAAAAGGCTAAGTTGACTCGCACAGGCGCCATACATATAAAGCTCTCACTGGTGCCAATTGCACACGTGTGTTTCGATCTATCATTGTTGATTGTGAATTTGGTTGACACTTTTATTACAGAGAAAGGGTGTATAGCAACATTAAAATATTTCTTCTAATTACTTTCCATTCAATGCGCACGAATTCGTGCACCGGGCCACTAGTAATGTATAAAATAAGGTGCAAAACTGCCATTCTCTGAAGCATTATATCAATGCATATTTCGCTTCCCTTGGTAGTTTGGTTCAAATAAAATCACAAATATTACTTTTTAAAAAAAAAAGTTGCTTAGAGCAGTGGTCACCAACCTTTCAGACCTCATGGACCACCCCAGTTCGTGACTGCTGGCTTAGAGAGTAGATCTTAAAAGTTCCCATCATGCCCTAGCTGGTTTGGCTCAGTGGATAGAGCGTTGACCTGTGGACTGAAAGGTCCCAGGTTTGATTCCGGTCAAGGGCACATGCCCAGGTTTCAGGTTCGATCCTGTGGGGGGCATGCAGGAGGCAGCCGATCAATGGTTCTCTCATCATTGATGTTTCTCTCTCTCTCTCCCTTCCTCTCTGATTAAAAAAAAAAAAGTTCCCATCACAAGGAAGAAACCTTTTTTTTGTATCTATACCAGATGATGAATGTTAACTAAACTTACTGTGGCAATCATTTTGAAATATATGTAAATCAAGTCATTATGCTGTACACCTTTAACTTACACAGTGCTGTATGTCAAGTATATCTTAATAATGAATGAAAAATAACAAATTATAATTGGTAGTAAAAAATTACATGATTATTGTATATATATGATCAAGTAAAAGTCTCCCTTTCTACCCCACTCCATGTTTTTGAGAATATTCTTATAGACCATTTTACATGCATTTATAAGCATATTCATAAAATTTGCTTTCACATAATTGGGCCATACTTTAATGACTTCTCTAACCCACAGTTCTCATTTAGCAGTTTATATTAGAGACATTTTAATATACATGTGTATACATATATATACTATGTATGTTATATATATATTGCTACCACAAATCCATTAATACAAATCCTCACAAACACTGTCACCAATCTTATTTTTTTATTTTCTTGTATTGTCTAAAGTTTTATATGTGTCTCCTTTTTCCCCAATTGACCCCCTCCCCTAGCCATTCCCACCCCGGGCAAGCCCCCACCACCCCAGTGTCTGTGTCCATTGGTTATGCTAATATGCATGCATACAAGTCCTTTGGTTGTCACCAATCTTTTAAAATTTTTTTTGTGTGTGTGTGTGAATCTGATAGGGAAAAAAAAGCAATCTGCTTTCTTCTATTACTTGTGAGGTTGAATATCTTTTCATAAATATGGGAAATTTATATTCCTTTTGTGAATTATCTATTCACATTATTCACACACTTTCAATTAGGTTAAATTTTTCTTTTATTTTCTACCAGTTTGCCACAGCCATTCAAGTTTGTTTGTTGTTTTCTTTAGTCATACAATATTTTCCCCCCATTTTATATTGCTAAATTTGTGAATCCTTCCTAGGTATGTAATTTGTTTAGGAAAATGTTTTCCATCCCAAAATTGTCTCTTATTTTCATCCAATTTTGTATTTAGTACACTTCATCTAGTTTTTTGTTCTCCCCCAACTTTTATTATGAAATATAGCAGAAGAAAAGTTGAAGGGTTGACAAATTATTGAAATGTTGCCATCTGTGTGTCTGCCTCCTATACACAAAACTTACACTTTCACCAAATCCTCTGAAAATAAATCACAGGCACTTCAACATGCATTTTCTAATGAGAACATTCTCCCACACAATCACATCTAGAAAAATGAACAATAATCCCACAATACGAATTTAATATAAAGTTCACATTCAAAATTTCTTATACATGTAAGATTACCTTTTTTCTCCCCTACTAAACTGCTGTTGAGGGGTACAACTTATGATATTTAAGCTAACCCTGATTGTAATAGGCACTAAGTAACAGTTGGCTGAATGTTTCAATAATTAAAAGGAAGCCAGCCTTAAAGTATCACTTTTTTTTAGTGGTACAGCCATCAAAAAAGGGGAAATTACTTGGTCTGGGATAATTTTGTTTCTATATTCTAAGACACAGAAGAGGAGTTTACAAGAAAATTGTCACAACACAGAAATCTTTAAATGAGACAAACTAATTTCAAAGAGTATTACATAAAACTTAGACTATCAGGTATTGAGAAAATTCAAAAATATACTTTTTTCTAATTAAAAGTAGCTTTTTTAAACTTTTTTTCAAGAAAAACTATTTTAAATATTATTACGTGCAATAAGCATTATTTCAAGAAAAAAATTTTAAATATAATATTACCCAAACTGTACTAACATAGTATACTACAAAAGTTGTAGGAAATATTAAAAATCTGCAAACAAAAATGTACTTTAAATCCTGAGACCTTTCTTTTTTGTTTTTGTTGATCCCCAGCCAAGGATATTTTCCCACTGATTTTTTAGAGTGGAAGGGAGGGGGAGAGACTCCGAGAGAAACACTGATGTGAGACAGGCACACATTGATCGTCTCCCTGACCAGGGAGAGCTATGTGCCCTTGACCTGAATCCAACAGGGACACTTCAGTACGTGGGCCGATGCTCTATCCACTGAGCCAAACCCACTAGGGCTCTGAGGCCTTTTCATCCAAAGTTATAGTTCAAATAATGGACTAAAAGTTAACATTAAATGCCTTCTCTACAAACTCCACCCTGAAGAGTGTGAAAGGTCATTTCAAACACACTAAAAATTATCTACTAGTCTGCCTCCCCCACAAAACAGGAAAGTCCAACAAAGGAGGGACTCGACCTTAAAAAAAAGAAAGAAAAAAAGAAAAAGAAATCCAAGCCCTGGCCGGGGAGTTCAGTTGGTTAGAGCGTTGTCCCCATATGCCAAAGATTCGGGTTCCATCCCGTCAGGGCACATACAAAAATCAACCATGAGTTTATAAATAAGTGGAACAACTATTTCTCTCTCTATCATTTATAAATAAACAAACAAACAAATCCATTACCAGTGCACAATTTAACAGGTGCCCCATACTAACAATTCTTAACTCAATAAATAGGCAATACACTAGCTAAATATTTTAACTCCCGGCTTGGTTATTAGAAACCTTGAGCCTCTCAGCCTCAAGAAAAAAAAACACCAACAGCAAATCCATTTGCAGATAGTGTAAAATTAGTAGGTTAAACCAAACAAGTTTAAGAAATAAAACGGAAAAAATAGCGATTCTCCGTGTAGTCAATCACAAATACCGAAAGTGATTCTGTCCCAAGTTGGGAAATTTTTCCTAAATCAAAGGCCTACTGTATTTGTTTTTACTGATTTTAGAGAAAGATACATCCATCGGTTGCCTCCCCAGCGGGGATCGAACCCGCCACCTTTTGGTGAACAAGACGACGCTCCAACCAATTGAACCTCACTGGCCAGGGCTCAAAGGCCTACTCTACTTTAAAGGGGAAGGTAAATTGAATAATCTTAAATCTAGAGAGCATCAAAAAGTAAACTAAACTAAAAAAAAAAAAAAAAGCCAGAGTCCATCCTGATTTAAAACATTTCGAAAATTGGCTTATTTCCCAGGCAAACCTCCGCAGGTTGTAAGCACTCTTTTTAATTTAAACCATTTATGCAGGACGTGCAATTTTTGTCCCTTCCACGTTCTCAGGGAGTGTGCCAATTCCCGAGGCCGAGGTGAGCTCCAGAAGTCGTCTACGCTAGAAACTCGGTACGTGACCGAAAGCAAGGCCTTGTAAGCCTCAGCTGCCCCATTACGGCTCAGACACTGGGTGGGAAGAAAGGGCTCGGTCTTCACGTCCACCTCTTGGAAGACACGAGGGATCCCCGCGCCACGCAGCCTGAAAGGCCAGGCCTCAGCGCCGGCGGCGGCGCGGCCAAGATAAGG